AGCACCCAGGCCCAGAGTTCAAACCCCACGACCGACAAAAAAAAAAAAACAGAATATAACCACTAAATTTTCATTACAAATAACTTAGTCAATATAGAGGGTACTGAACGGTTTCAGAATCTCACTTTTCTAGGTATTCTCTTAGGGCTTTCCTATTCCTTAGCTAAATTTGTTAATTTTTTTTTTTTGGCCAGTCCTGCGGCTTTGAACTCAGGGCCTGGGCACTGTCCCTGAACTTCATTTGCTCAAGGTTAGCACTCTGCCATTTGAGTCACAGAGCAATTTCTGGCCTTTTCTGTTTACGTGGCACTGAGGAATCAAACCCAGGACTTCATGTATGCTAGGCAATCATTCTACCAATAAACCACATTCCCAGGCCATTGTTAATAAATTCTTAAGTACTGTCCAAAAGTACCTGAAGCTGAGCATTTGTGAAGGGTACATTAGAACTGTAATAGTAACATTTATAATATGCACTATTCCATGGAGAAGTAACGATTTCTAATATAATATATGAAAGAACAATTCTTTTCTTACCCTCTGAGCTTTTGCAAGTTCTTCTTTTAATCTTTCATACCCTTTTTCTCTAACCTCCAGAACAGATGGGCTTCGCAAGCGAGACAAACTATCTGTACTCAACCCAAAGATATCATCACTGCCAGCACAGGCCTCTGTGACAGTGGCACCCTGTAAAAACTCCCTCTCTGCATTACAGTTGTCCTTCCTTGTAGTTAATTTAGTTGGTCCAGTCGTGACTCCAGAGGTAATACAAGATGCTGGATCTGTAACATGAATGCTATGAAAGAAAGGAACAATTTTCAGAAATTATCACAAGAAATGGCACACATTATAGCTCTAGACTTAACTTACAGCAAGTCCATCACAAATTATGTTTCAAGTCATATGTAGCCAAAGCTACCATTCACATTGGCCAGCACAGAAACACAACATTTTCATCACCACAGAAGTTCTTTTGGATGGATAATTCTAGTCAAGAAAAGGGGAGAGCAAACTACAGCCTGACGGTTAAATCAGTCTGGCCACAAACCAAGAATGGCTTTTACATTTTCAAATGTAAAATAATATCTTGTGGCATGTAAAAATTACATTAATTCAAAATTCTTTGTCCATATATGAAGTTGTATTTGTTTGTTCACTTACATATAACATATGACTGCATTCATCCTCTAAAGGCAGAACTGTATCATTCATTGGGTTACAGATTAGATGACAAAACCTAAAATATTTAGTCTGGCCCTTTCCATGAAATCTGCCAATCCCTGATCTCGAATATTAAAATATATCACCTGACAAGCATATATTATTCAGATTTTATAGAAGAATAAAACTTGAGATAACCAAAAAAAGTATTTATTCAAAACACAATCCAGATCCAGCACCAGTAATTCTAGCACCTGTAATCCTAGCTACATGGGAGGCTGAGATCTGAGGATCACAGGTCAAAGCCAGACCAGGCAAAGAAGTTCAGGAGATTCTTGTCTCCAATTAACCACCAAAAAGATAGAATATGTGGCTTAAATGGTAAAGCACCAGCCTTGAGCAAAATAGCTAAGGAACAGCACCCAAGCCCTGAGTTCAAGGCCTTGTATAGGCATGACCTTGCATGCATACACACACACACATACACACACTAAGTGTGATGCTCCCCTACCTGATACCAGAAATTTCTGTACAGTTTAGACGTCTGGGAGATGAATACACTGGTTGGGTAGGAAGATCAGAAACATCCAATGCATTAGCCTGGATGGGAGTAGAACATAAAGCTGAAGGATGTGGCCGGTAGATGACAGGTGAGGTAGTCTGTTCTTGATTTCCTGATTCACACACACCAAGAAGGTCTGGAGAAGTAGGTGAGGCAAGGTTTACTTCATGGAATCCTTCCAAGGGATCATTAGCCATAGCAAAGGCCTCATCATAAGATAACCTATACTAAAAACAAAAGAACATAATTACTACTGCATATATTTAAAGCTAAGATGTGTAAATTATAAAACATGTTTAATAGCCATAATAAAACATAAGCTCATAATTTTAAAAAGTAAAGAAAACTTAGCCTTTATTCAGTGACCTCAGAATAAAATTCCTACACAAAAGGCAGATAAACTGACTGGGAAGAAACTTGTTTTAACTTTGTATCATCTGCAATTTTGGATAGAAAAAGTAGAAAAGGCAGAAAAGATACACACACACACACACAAACATATTTACACACATATTTACCCATGGACTTAAATTCACTTACTTCTTCTGTTTTGCCTCATACTGGCGATGCGACTTTGGAATAGTCTGGTTTTCGTTTTTGGAATAATTTACAATTTAGTTAAGAATTACAGAGTTTTTGTCTATCATTCACTTATATTGTCAAATTGCTAACATTTGTGAGCCATTTGAAAACGTTTCTGAAATAATGTCAATTAACCCTTAATGTTTCAGGATGTATGTACTAAAGCACACATACACACACAAACTGCAAGTATATAGTATATACTATATACACCATATCCTAAATCCTAGTATATATACCATATCCTAAATATTAGGATGTTCTATCAAATCACAAAAATCATCATCACTACCTGTTACCAAACACTTGATGAAAATTACTATCTAATAAACAGGTCCCACTGAATTTAACTGTTTGTTCCAATAATAGCTTTTATAGGCCCAAAATCCAATCCTGGGTAATATGCTTCATTTCCCTAAGTCTTGAAGTTTATTTCTGATAGGATAAGGATGGGCCCAACACTATTCTCCCGTGTCCCAGTTGCCATGAGGAATACAGAAGACAATCTTTTATAGCATTTAGTAGAGTACTATACACCTGACAATTGATAGGGCTTCAATAACATTTGTATGGCAGCCATTAACAATAACAAGTATGCTTCTATTTCTCTATTCACAAAAGATAATCAAAAATTACAACAAACATGAAAACTAAGAAGTGTCTGCTCACATTTTTCATTTAAAAATATAAAGCTAAATGTCTTGTAAATTATTTATCAGTTCCCCACTATTTCTAGTGTAAAATATTAGCTAGCTTCAAATCTTCTATGATCTGAATCTAACCTCTCCAGTTTTTGCTTCCTATAATAATACTTTGATAATCATAAATAATCCTTCCTAGAACTTCAAAATTCCCAAATACAATCACCTAAACAATACATAATTTCTTACATAAACTACAAAGATAGCTGGGTACCAATGGCTTACACTTGTAATCCAAGATATTCTGGAGGCTGAGATCTGAGAATCACAAATCAGCTGGAAACTATCCTGACAAAGTCCATGAGACTCTTATCTCTAATTAACCATTTTAAAAAAGCTGGAAATAGAGCTCAAGTGGAAGAGCACCACCCTTGAGCAAAAAAAGCTTGGGGGCTGGGAAGGTGACTCAGTGGTAGAGTGCTTGCCTTGCATGCATGAGGGCCCTGGGTTCGATTCCTCAGCACCACATAAGCAAAAAGAAAAAAGCCGGAAGAGGCGCTGTGGCTCAAGTGGTAGAGCACTAGCCTTGAGCTGAAGAGCTGAGGGACAGCGCCCAGGCCCAGAGTTCAGGCCCCACGACCAGACCCACCCCAAAAAAAAGAAGCTTGGGGACAGTGCCCAGGTTCTGAATACAAGTCCCAAGACCAGCATTAAAAAAAAAAAAGATTTATTCATTTAAACTAATTGAAAAGATAGCCAATCAGTGTTAAAAATGTTAAGTAGAGAATTAAAAGGTAGCATTAAAGTTAGAAGGCAGAAAGCAGCTTAACATTAACATATTCTCTCAAAATTACATGGTCATTCCAGGATATATGTAAAAACCCCAAACAATACATATATAACAAATCTACAAGTGTCAAATTTTGAACCAAATAAGCAATGTATTACTGCAAACACTGAACTAAGCCCTCAAAGTATACTAATCCTATCTTTTCATGAAAATATTCATTTTAACAAATGAAAGTTCAGATTAGCAAGAAATTTAAAGTGTTTAATACACTAATATTTAACACTCTAACAGTGTTTAATATGCTAATAATCAAAAGAGTATTTTTCACTTTTTCTTAATCCACACACATCAAAAAAATTTATATTCAAAGTATGTATTTCATTGTCATTTGAATATAATTCACTAATCAATTCATTTTAAGATAAAGAACTTTTGTAGTAAGTTTGTATTAAATTGACATCACATTTATGATAACTTCTTTCCATACACTATCCCATAAACGAATAATTCACCTCTTTATACCTAGAAAGTTTACTAAATTCTAGGGTATAGAGTATTTCTATTTCATTCCATTTTTAGAAATGTGAATGGTACAAATCCTTTGGGAGAAAATGTGGCAATATCAAGCAAAACCACTCATACCACTAACAGTATTACTTGTAATAGCAAAAGCAAACTGCTGTGGTGACCTCAAGGATGTACTACTGACAAAATACAAAGCAAAATAAATACCTGTACATGATAAAATTACAATTTATTTATATGTGCATGAAATATTTGTGTACACACACACACTTGCATTTTAGAAATGAAGAGATAAATAAAATTTTTTAAAAATCTATAAGCGGAGGGAGAGAACAGATAAGGGGTTTTAAAAAGACATCAAATGTGAGCTTGAGCTTAAAACCATATGAATGGCTGGGCATCAGAAGCTCAGGTCTGTAATTCTAGTTACTCAGGTAGCTGAGATTTGGAAGACTGTGATTCAAAACCGGCCTGTACAGAAAAGCCCATTAGACCATACATTTAAGAAATTGATAGCAGATAAAGGTTAGATTAAGACAAAAGATCTCTAAGGCAGATCTTATTAATGCCAACCATAAGAAGTCCAAACAGAAAATACTACTTAGTCTCTGAACCCTTTTTACCTATAGAAAGAGGAACTAAAATTTCCCTAATGTCCAGCTATTGAAATATCTGGTATCACTCTGACTCTTTCCTATTCTTTTTCTCTATATTATTTTTGCTATCATCATTTATTTCTCTATTTTACTAGTTAGTTCAGATATAAAATACTTGAGGTCCCTATAGAATTTTGAAGAAGTGACATATAAATCAAAATAAACAGAAGCTTGATTTTACTAATGTAAATATATTCCTATATTTTTTGAAGTATGGAGTATTATTCATCCATAAAAAAATGAAGTCCTGTCATTAATGGTAAAACTGGAAGCTATTACAAGTAAAATAAGTCAGGCAGAGGAAGACAAAGACCGAATGTTCATATTGACAAGTGGAAGTTTAAAACATCATCTGGCTGGGTACAGTGACCCATACCTGTAATCCTAGCCACTCAAGAAGGCTAAAATTAAGCTTATGGAGGTTCAAGGCAAACCTCAAGAAATGTTTGCAAGATCTCAACAGAAAAGGGTAGGTGTGGTGATACATGTTTGTCTATCATCCCACCTTACAGCAAGAAGTGCAAACAAGAGGATTATTATCTAAGCTGGCCCAAGGAGAAAGTGAAATCCTATCTCAAAAATAAGAAAAATCAGCCAGGCACCAGTATGCCTGTAATCCTAGCTACTCAGGAGGCTGAGATCTGAGGATCATAGTTCAAAGCCAGCCCAGGCAAGAAAGTCCATGAAACTCTTATCTCCAATAAACCACCAGAAAACCAGAAGTGGCGCTGTAGCCCAAGTGGAAGAGTGCTAGCCTTAAGCTGAAGAGCTGAGGGACAGCACTCAGGCCCAGAGTTCAAGCCCCATGACCAACAAAAAAAAAAAAAAAAGAAAAGAAAAGAAATCAAAAATAAAACTAGAAAACACTAATCTAGAATCATGGCTGTTGTAAGGTGGTGAAAATGGGAGTGGGTATGGAAAGGTATAAAGTGTGGACAGTTAATGGACACACGGGTACAGATGGAAGAACTTCCAACATCCTATAGCAAAGTATAGCACATGATTGGCTGCAATTAAGTATATTTCAAAATAAATTTAAAATGAGGTGCTAGAGGGCAAACCAAGGCAACAGTAATACTCACAAGACAATATGTGAGAAATGAACTGTACAATTTGCAGGGGGGAGGACTGGGGAGGAGGGAAAGTGGGAGAAAAATGAGGGAGGGGGTACCAAGTTCGACAAGAAACATACACTACCTTATGTATATAACTGTAACCACTCTGTATATCACCTTGACAATAACATTTTTTAAATAAGGTGCTAGATATGACAAGTGACTGATCCATTAAACATCATATGCATGTGTTAAAATATCGCACTATATATCACCAATCTGGATAATTATGTGTCATTTGGAAAACACAAAAGAAATAGATGATATTTGATAACAAGGTATTATTAACATTTAAGTTTATACTAGTACTGCATTTAATTTCTCTTATTTTTTAGAACTAAAATAAATATGCAATGAAAATTATACAACATCTACAATTTGCTTCAGATAATACAGTAGTGGAGAAGCAGGTGAGCAAGATTATGGTTGATGGTCACTGGGCTATGTAACAGAACTTTGAGGTTATTATTTGTACTGTTTACTTGATCTGAAGCTCTCCGCAATTAGAATGTTCTACAAAAAAAGTCTGAGATTAGCTAAACGCTTGTGGTTCATTCCTGTAATCCTAGCTACTCAGGAGGCTGAGATCTGAGGATCCCAGTTCAAAGCTAGCCAGGGGCAGAAAGTCCATGAGACTCTGATCTCCAATAAAACTACCACAAAATCAGAAGTGGTGCTGTGGCTCAAGTGGTAGAGGGCTAGCCTTGAGCTGAAGAGCTGAGGGATGGTACCCAGGGCCAGAGTTAAGCCCCATGACCGACCAAAAAACAAGTTTGAGATTTATTTAAATGTTATATGTGAAAACAACGAAAATGTGCACATGTGATTTTTCATTAACTGTGTGTGTGTGTGTGCGCACACGCACGTGCACGTGCACACACCTATCCTGGAACTTGAGCTTAGGATCTGGATGCTGTC